CGGAGCAGGGAGCCTGATGTGGGGCTCGATCCCAGGACCCTGGGACCATGACCTGAGCCGAAGGCAGATGCTTAATGACTGAGCCACCCAGGCGCCTTTTTAAAATTTTTAACATTTGAGTACAGTTGACACAATGTTACATTAGTTTCAGGTGTACAGCACAGGGACTGGGCCAGTTTATAGGTTATGCTGTGCTCACAAGTGTGGCTACCACCATACAACACTGTTACTCATTGTTACCTTAAATTAAGAAATTTCCCAGACGCCTGGGTGGCTCAGTCAGGTGAGCATGTGTCTCTTGATTTCAGCTCAGGTCATGGTCTCAGGGTCATGGGATCCAGCCCCTCATGGGGCTCGTGCTGCCTGCTTAAGAGCCTGCTTAAGAGTCTCTCTCTCTCTCCCCCTCAGCCCCTCCCCCTGCTCACACATTCACTAAAAAAAAGAAAGAAAGAAAGAAATTTCCACAGCCACCTCCTGATCAGTCAGCTGCCATCAACCTTGAGGCAAGACCCTCTACCAGCAAAAAAATGACGACTTGCTGAAAGCTCAGATGATGGTTAGCATATTTTAGCAATCAACTATTTTTTATTTATTTTATTTTTTACTTTTTAAATTAAGGCATGTGCATTTTTTTAGACATAATGCTATTTATTGTACACCTAATAGACCGTAGTGTAAACATAAGTTTTACAATGCATGGGAAACCAATAAATTCATTTGACTCACTTTATTGTGATACTTGCTTTATTGTGGTGGTCTGGAACTGAACTCGCAACGTCTCCGAAGTATGCCCATATTTGAAAGAATGACATTAGGTCATTGTGTCATTAGGTCATTTATTTGAGAGAGAGAGAAAGAGAGAGAGGCAGAGAAATCCTCAAGCAGCCTCCCCACTGAGCACGGAGCCGGACTCGGGACCTGATCCCAGGACACATGAGATCATGACCTGAGCCAAAATCAAGAGTTGGATGCTCAACCAACTGAGCCACCCAGGAGCCCTGAGAAATTGACATTCAAACTGAGGTCTGAAAGGTGAGTAGGAGGTCATCAGGCATAGGATGGTGGAAAGAGCATTCTAGGTAGAGGGAATGGCAGGTGCAACGGCCCGGAGGTGAGCACTAGGGAAGCTTGTGAGACTGGAGCATGGCGAGACAAAGGTGGACCTGTAGGCAGATGCCAAATTTTGCTGGACTTATGCGTAAGTGTGCTTCCTAAAGCTGTAAGGAATTAGCTGTTAAATAAGGGTCAGTGAGGCTTCAAGTGAAGCTTAAGAAACCATGACATAGATGTTGAGCTGCGTTTTGGGACAGTTATTGCTAATGTTCAGAGTCTTTGGTTCCCGTACATTATCAAATAGTGGTTATCGAGGACTGGCTGTGCACGTGGGAGCCAGAGTCGATGGCCTGGGCTTGAATCGTGGCTTGAGGGTGATCAGCAGGCCATGCCTCTCCTTGTTATGCTGATAAAGACCATTCTATTTCTCACTGGACAATACTTTGCTAGCATCCTGTTGTTGTCTTCGCTTCACAGAATAGTCTCACCTTTCTTTCTTTTTTTTTTTTTTTGACAACCAGGACCTTTCTGTTTCTGTCTTGTATTTAGATTCTGCCTGGGTGCATGATTTCACTTGCCCTCGTGATAAAATCTAACACTCATACAGAATTGGCAATGAGAATGGTGGTTGTTTCCTTATTAATTGCATTTAGTATCTTCTCCATGTGCCCGGCTTCCTTTGTATGGGTTAGATTACAGCAACTTGGTGTCTGGGATATCTCCCAGGCCCCATCTGTGTGGGAAATTCTATCACAGCAGGGAGTAATTTTAATCTTTGAAAAAATGAATTTTTATGCGTTGTAGAGATGAGGGAGTCCAAGGGGAAAACGGCAGAGAAATAATGTTTTACAAAATGCTCTCCCTTATGTTGCTTCATCCAGTGCTCGCCCTTCTGAGAAGTAGCAGGTCTGATCT